ACCTCATCCCATTGGCTTCAGCCCAGCTCTCCAGCCTGTCCAGATCTCTCTGTAGGGCCTCGCTACCCCCTAGTACTAGTTAGTAGTACTAACTTCTATTACTAGTAATAGTAATCCAGCATGGATTTGGCAAACAAAGAGGCTCATGTTTCACATGGCCTCTTAATATCGCCCACGCCAGCTAGATACTACATCTCTCTCAGTGTGAACTCTCCAACAGTCCTCTAGAGTATCAGACCCCATAGTATGTCTATGCCCAGTATATACTCCAGGACTGAGGCAATAGACACCTTATACTCCCAGGGTGGGAGATTCCCAAGCCCCAACCTCAACCGTGTCTGGCTTACAGAGATGGTCTGTCTCCCAAACCCACCAATCATCACTCTATCTCCCTGGCATTTGGTTGGATCGCCATAAATAACAGACGTTTCTAAACCCATGTCAACTAGTGCCATAATTCACTGTTGTATGGAATGGCCTAAACCTCTGACTGACCACCTGAGACAAGCAATGAGTTAGCTCTGGGAGCACAGGTGAAGGCAATTCACCTGTGCTCCACCTCTCCTAGACCCCATTTAAGAGCTGACTACCACTAGGGGAGGATCTCTTTTGGAGATCTCTCCTCTGGAGTCTTCTCAGTGAGCCCAGGACAGGGGGTAAGCTTTTCATCTATTATTCTTTAGCGTGTAACCTGTTCAGTCTAACTTTCTTGTACATTTCTTAATTATAATATCTGTGTATTCATCAATTATACAACTGTATGTTCTTCTGGGACTAAAAAATAGTCAGCTTGACATAAGGCCTCCAGTCCCATCTGGGGGCCCTAGGTGCAGAATAGCTGGCATTCCCTGTTATGCAAAACTGAGTAATTGCCAATTCTTTTTTCTCAGGTAGGTCAGGCATAGCGACTGGGGTCACTTGAGGAGACTTTTACTGGAAACTAGGATATCTTTCAGGTTCCATGTTCTTATTGGTATTTTTTCAATAGTTCTTACCCCTGCTTTTTTTAGGGATATTTTGAAACTTCTACTTCCCCCTGTCCCCACAGCTGGAGGAGGATGTGAATGGGCTAGCAATTGATTTTATCAAATTGAACCCCAGCCTAGATTAAATCATGAAGCTTCTGCTTTCAGGATACCTGTATGGGTCCCAACTGAGGAGTCCATGGGGCAGGACTCCCCCTTTTAATTAGGGGATGACCTCAGCCCCTTCCAATGTTCAGATATTGCACCTATTCCAAAGGTGCTCTGTCTCCCTCAGTTCAGCCACCAATTGGGTGGCTTGTTGGATGATGGCCTCCAAGGCCACTGAAGGATTCAGTATGGATACCAGTGCCTCATACTGGTGGGGAGGAGCTTGTTGTAGTATGAGGTCCCTCATTCCTGCTGAAAACTTAACCAGGTCAGGACTCACAAATGCATCATTAATGGCCTCCTTCATCCCTAGTTCTCTGATATAACTTTGGAGTTCTTCCATTGATGTCCATGAACTGGTATTGATCAGTACATCACTTTTGTTTGGCCATGTAATTTTTACATGCTGCTATTACCTGCCGAATTGAAGAATAGTTTTCTTTGTTATGTATTATTATCACATTACAGCCTCTGTCTGAGGGCCAGATGCATAGTAATGGATGCAGGTTGGAAGATCTTGGGCCCATTAACTACCATGCTTTCAGCCCCCACATCCCATAATCTCAAAAGCCATGCTTTCATGAGGTCTTTGTTTAAATTGTTGCAACAAATCCAGAAGTTCAGCAGCTGTGCATGGGCATGCTGTTACATGTTGTGCATTGTGGGCAGGGGGCTGCTCTTCAAGTGTCAACCCTGTTGGTCTATCCTGGATTTTATTTATCTTTTTGAGTTATTACTGGACTTATTTCTAGAGGATCTGAGGCTTCCAAATCCTCTAGATGAATTTTAATCTGCTTTGCCTTCTTTTTGTTTTTTTTTTTTTTTTGGATTCAACTAGGATCCAAGGATCTTCTGATCCAAGTTCTTTTCCCCTCTTAATAACATGGATTTTAATTTCAAAGGGGAAGTTCCAGTTGAAGGTGGAGGAGTTTGCCCTGTCCAAGATGTAATTTCATTTCCCAGTTGCCTAATATAGGCTTTTTTTAAAAAAAGCTTGTTTTCATCTTTTAATTCTTCCTACAAGGAATGATATGCATTAATAGTGAGTAGCAGTGGCCATGCCACAGCAGATACTGCTACTATTTTCTCAGTTGTCAAAAGATTTTATCCTCATTTATTCAAAAAGTAAGCCACTTCTTTGAAGGGGATTTAATAATGGGAACGTTGCCCCTTATAAGACCCCATTCTTTAATAAGCAATGCAGAACTTAGCCATGGGGAGCACAGGAATCTTGGAGTTTCCCCTGGGAGTTCTTCTTTCACTGTATTAGTGGTCCTGGTGACCATCCAGTGCACTTTTTCCTTTTTAGATAATCCATCCTAAATAAGCACCTGGCTGGCTCACCAAGCGTAATGCTATAATATGATGGAAAGTACAGCAATGATAGCAGAGCAACACAATCCTAGGTTGCAGCAAGTAAGGACCTGCTCAAATGCAACAGCTGTGGAAACAGAAATAAAGGAAAATCTGCTTACCTTCAGAAGGCCTCAGGTAGGCAGGGATCTCCAGCAAGATACCCTTGCCTCTACTGCCAACCCTTAAATGAGGTCTGGGAAGGGGTGCATCCTGGCTCCACCCCTTCCAGTCACTCAGGTTCGCTGCTTGCATCTGAGCTCCCCTGGGTTGGCTCTGCCTTCTCACCAGGTGCTCAATCACTGGTTCAGGCCATGACTTAGCATTTCTGCTATACTAACAATCTTTAAAAATACTTTCAAATGATGCTAGGATAAAAAGAAACAACCTACAGTCAACTCCTGAGAACTTACATGCACAAAATATTTTTCTTAAATATAGAATTTTGTAGTCTTCCAGAACTGAAGCCGCTATATAGCAGTGAAGAAACAAAAATCCATTCTTTCCACTGTTGGTCATGCTTCAAGGAATATATGCCACAGAAAAACACGAAGCCTCTTAAGATTTAACTTATCTAATTATTTTTTTATAAAAACTATGTTTTTATACAGTATCTTGGGATTACTAGAATGCTTTTTCTGTAGACAGCATTATGGAGGACAATCATCATTAGTTCCTAAAGCCATCTGAAGCCAGTAGTCCAGATTTCTAAAAATGACAAAGTTGTACAAGTTCTCTCCTCCTTTGTGAAAACCATGTTCATTCTCTCTCCATGAAACAGGGCTGTCTGCAAAGCCATGTACAGTTAAGGTGAGCCACTGTGCCAGTTTTGGTTCACCAAAATAGCAACTGCAAGAAAGAAAACAAGGTTATCAATAATTACAATGGAATGAACAGGAAGTTCAAGTATACAAGGTCAAAAATTTAAGACATTCATCTTAATGAACATCAGTAATTAACAGTTTAGAAGAACACCCTGCTTTAGTACATATGTAAATCTGAAAATATTCTACCAGAATGACATTAGGAATTGAAATAAGTCTGATTCTTGATTATTCCTACCGTACTTACAGACATGACCAAAAAAAGTTACAGTTCTAAAATCATGAATTAGTTGTTCTGAATTTCCTACAGAATGTATTGCCTTTCAGAAAAGTATTACATTTTCTAAGAACAGACATCATTAGAGGGAAAAAAAGGTATAGGAGGAAGAAACAGGCTGTGCTTGACACAAATGGATTACAAATAATCAAAGCCAGGCATTATATACTGCTCTTAAGCAGAAGCCATGGGTATTCATATTCTAACTCTGTAAGACTAGTGAGGCTTTTTGCTTCAGATTTGAAAATGCGAAGAGTAATCACAGAATCGTAGGGGTTGGAAGGGACCTCCAGAGTCCAGAGTAATGATAACCACCCAGACAAACCAACAGCAATGTTGACTTGAGCCAGTGCTACAATCATCAGTAGCCATGCACTTCAAAAATTCTCCTACACATGCAGCAAGGAAGCTCCAGAAATCACTGTCAGTAGAGCTCATGTACATTACAGGCAGACTTGCACTGATCCAAGATACACTAGTATTAGGTAGACTGGTAGTGCATTAGAACCACAGCTACCCTTTTCATCACTATTCATGTTATATGATTCATGTTATAGCATGATTTAAAAGTACATAAGTTGATTTACTGTAATCAACTGTGTCATAATAACCTTGAAGTGTCTTGTTGCTCTTTCTGGTTTTATAAAGGGATTTCAATCATATTTTCTATCAATAGTTAAAAATGTTAAGTCAGACATATTTCAGGGTACATGATGTTCAGGACATGAAATCTGAAAAATGTATAAGCTCAGCAGAGCCACTGTGCTTTAGAAATTAAGATATAAAAACAAAGTCATTACTAGAATGCAGGGCAGGCATTCACAAACTTGCACACATCAGGAAAGTGTTCAAAAATAATTACTGCTTTTTCATACCAATATTAAACTTTTGCTCATTTCCCAATTGAAGTCTTCATTTTGTACTTTATTTACTTTCAACAGCACTACTGAATACAAGTGTTTAATTTTTGAAATCACTTTGAGAAAGTACTAAAAAAAACCAATGAACTAAGAGTGTCCTCCTGTAAGTCCTTACCACAGCTGCTCCAGTAACTGAATTATCTTCTCAGGAATTATGAAGCCTGTGATTGTGCACAAAAATGCCTGGTCCACTATTGTGTTGGGCTGAGGACAGCAATAGGTTGACAAAAAACTAGAAGATACATTATCTCTGGAAAAGAAAAAAAGAGAATAAATAAAATAAATGTACTTTAAATCTTCCAAATAAAGCTTTATCTTTATCTATCAAAACCTGTAGCAAAGAAGTCTTTATGTATATCATCTAAATTCATACCCAAACAATTAATGGACAGGTGACACCCAAATTGTCATGGGTATCCTCAAAATCACAGGTAAGTTAATCAGGACTTTAAACAAGCACTTAAGTGTGTAATAGACATTCCACTGGCAGAAACATGTCCTTCTTAATCCTTACTTAGCTGTTCCTTAAATAAATTGTGGCTTTTCCTACTTAAAATGTATTTTAAGATCAAACAAGATCAAATACTTACAGATTAACTTGATTCAAGACAGCACCCAGCCATTCAAACAGTTCCTCTGTACTGCAGGACTCTTCTGGCTTTCCTTGAAGTTCATTGCTTTGTAACACTGGACACTGCAGGTCTCTTAATGTGCTGAATGTTACTTTTGGCTTTAGGGCCTGTATTTGGTTTTTTGAAAAGTATGACATCAGTGTTGATCCCTCTGCACCTTAACAACACAACACCACAAAGGGCTGTTACAAAACTATTACACAGAAGGCACACTGAAGTCATGAAACATTTGTATGTGCGTTTAAAGGATGCAGTGTGGTGTTGAACCACAACTAGAACTGCTTACGACCTTTTCTTTTGCAAAAGGCATAGAATTTTCAGTTTCCTTATCTTCTTTGAATTAAGGATTACTACAAAATCCAGCACCCTTACTGGGGGAACGGTGATTGATGTCATCTACCTGGACTTCTGCAAGGCATCTGACATGATCCCTAACAAATCCTTCTCTCTAAATTGGAGAGGTGTGGGTTTGAAGGATGGGCTGTTTGATGGATTAGGAATTGGCTGGCTGATCAATGGTTCTGTGTCAGGGTGGAGGCTGGTCACAAGCAGTGTCCCTAAGGGGTTGGTCTTGAGACCAGTGCTCTTCAACATCTTTATCAATGACATCAAGAATGGTATCGAGTGCACCCTCAGCAAGTTCATGGATGACACTAAGCTGAGCAGTGTGGTCAATACAGTGGAAGGAAGGCAAGCCATCCAAAGGGTACAGGAGAGGCTGGAGAAGTGGGCCCATGAAAACCTAATGAAGGGTTCAATAAGGCCAAGTGCAGGGTGCTGCACTTGGGTTGGGGCAATCCCAGGTATTTATACAAACTGGGGGAAGAGCTCTTGGAAAGCAGCCCTGCAGAGAAGGACTTGGGGGTCCTGGTGGACAAGAAGCTGGACATGAGCCAGCAGTGTGCACTTGCAGCCTGGAAGGCAACTGTGTTCTGGGCTGCATTAAAAAAGGGGTGGCCAGCAGGGAGAGGGACGTGATTGTCCCCCTCTGCTCAGCTCTTGTGAGGCCCCATCTGCAGCACTGCGTCCAGGCCTGGGGCCTGCAGTACAGAAGGATGCAGAGCTCTTGGAGTGGGTCCAGAGGAGTGCCACTAAGATGATCAGAGGGCTGGAGCACCTCTCCTATGAGGAAAGGTTAAGGGAACAGGGCTTGTTTAGCTTGGAGGAGAGAAGGCTCCAGGGAGACCTCATGGTGGCCTTCCAGTACTTGAAGGGAGCGTATGAGCAGGAGGGGGAATGGCTGTTTACATGGGTGGATAGTGATAGGACAAGGGGGAATGGTTTTAAACTGAGACAGGGGAGGTTTAGGTTAGATATTAGGAGGAAGTTCTTCACTCAGAGGGTGGTGACACACTGGAACAGGTTGCCCAAGAAGGTTGTGGATGCCCCATGCCTGGAGGCATTCAAGGCCAGGCTGGATGTGGCTCTGGGCAGCCTGGTCTGCTGGTTGGTAACCCTGCACACAGCAGAGGTTGAAATTAGATGATCACTGTGGTCCTTTTTGACCCAGGCCATTCTATGATTACTATTTAAGTAGTAAACATAGAAATAGATCTGACAATAGAAAATTCAAGCAAAACTAACTGGGCAAATAATGAAATAATACTTACATGAATTCAAGGTGTCCTGAAAAGGTATTCATAAAAGGAAAGCTACTTGCCTATTAACTTGCCCCCCAAAACAAAGTGGATTGCAAGTGCACTCACACTGTATGTATACCCACCCTTGTACACACAAGCCTAGGGAACATTTTGGCTTATGACTGTCCATGTATACATCCCCTCTTTACTCACAGACCAATTCCTGCTGCTGTGCAAGCATGACACATGCACTGCATCATTAGGTCACCTCCAGCTCAGCACCTCTAGAAATTTTTCAAGCATTTAAGAGTAAAGGAGAGCATATATAAGGCAGATGGAAATGGAGATACTGCATCTCTAAAATCATTTAACTGAAATTAAGCTCAGAAGAATTTCTTCCAAGAGCACAGAGCATCCAGAGGGATCCCAGAACCACTAGTTCAGTAAGAACTGCCTCATAGAGACAGCATGGAATCTGGAAGCAAAACCAACTTAATGGAATGAACTCCTGCAGTTCTCAGGAACACTTTACAAAAAGTTATAGTCTCATAAATTCTCCTGGAACACAACTTCATAAGCACCAAAAGTGTCCCCTCCCAGTTTCCTAAAAGGCACTCATGTCTTTTACTCAGCATGCCCAGGTAGTGAGGCTTTTAGTTTTCTCAGCGGAGGACAACAAATAAGAATCATTCCAGGAGATTTGATCCCATTATTAAAGACTGTATACTTGATGTTCTTTGTGTGATGGGAAACTTCATCTAGGAGCCAGGGGGGTTCAAGGGAAAAATTACTGATTCACAGCAAATTGAGAAATCATCTTCAGATACACTGAACTTAAGATCATCCCAGTAAAAGATCAGAATTAGCCACGGAGACAAGCAGCTCTCCCATCTGCTTAGCTGCCACACTAGAACACCACTTCCCCAAACAGTGAAAAAGTGAGCAGCTGACTACAGGTTTGAGAACAGATTTATCAATCGTGTCAAGAAAAATACTAGGATAGTCTGAGGGACAAACACCTTGAAGTGAGAAAGAACAGATGAAATTCAGGAACAGGACATAGTTAACTATGCAGCAGAATACAATATCTGTGGCCCACTATCAAAAATTCTGGACTGCTTAAGCTCCATCACCATATCTATCCCACCGAAGGGGATCACTTGGAGGAGGAGGGCTAAACTGACCCTTTTTAATCATCCTGCACAAAAAGCTGTCCAAATGCAGAAGGGCCCACATGACAGATACTGAACTTCTGTTAGCTTGTATGTTTACATAAAGATACATGCGTATTTATGTTTGAAGTGCATCAGGACAATCCTCCTTCAGTCTATTCTTCCCTTAAGTACTTGTTACACTAACAGGCTCAAAGAACACATAATATTGCCTGAGAATTCTGGATTGAACAAAAAAAGATACATTTTAAATGTCCCCTCTAAATAGAAACTTCAGCTGTAGTCCTAACTTCAGGAAATCTCCAAGGCTACAGCCAGGACTCTTAACAGAACAGCTCCTGTAGCTACAGCACAGCTTTCAATGCCCACAACAACCAGCTACATTGTCACAGTCCAGTGAATTTCAGCCAATAAATATTTAAAATTGCCATAGAAATTACAGCAGTAGAACAGAGAAGAAAAGATGGCTTTGATTCTGTCATTAAACACATGAGACACTCCGTATTCCTTCTTTCTGTTTCTCTGAGCACCAGAATCAAGAAATAGGGGGGAAAAAAAAGAAAAAAAAATGGTATGAAAACTGAAAACCCTACTTTTGGAAAGCAATAGGAATGTTTACAAGCCTCCAGCAGTGCTGGCCATGGCAAGAAGCACTAGGGTTCAGCAGGAAAGCTGCAAACACAATGCTCATGGAGGACAAGGACACTCTAAGAAAATACAGCCCTCCTTTGCCCTTCCAGAAGAATCCACACAATGCCTCAGTGCCTATAAATAAAATCTATGACTGTTTTTATTTTTGTCAGTACAAAGAAAGAGTCTTCCTATGTTACAAACTTGATTCTTGCACAGAACGACATTCTGATTTAACTCTGTATTTAGAAGATGATTAACCTGACTACAGTTTTTTGGCCATAAGAAGCTGAAGAAAAGGGATACTGTTCTTCCTGAATGCTGCTACACGGCAGGAATAAATGCGTACTGGCCCTAACAGCATTTTGCTTTCTGCCCAGAGTCAATAAATCTAAGCAAGCTGAGCCTGAGGATCTGCCACCTGAGCTGGATTTATGTCACCATTTATGGTAGCAGGAGTCTTCACTGTGACTCTTTCCTGAAGATGACAAGGGAAGAAACTGCAAAGCCTTAAACCACTTCTGTAATGACAAACAAGGATGAATCCATGTAACACAGTTTGTATTAAAAAAGGTGGGGAAACCAGAAGGACTATTAAGTGAAACACAGGGCAAAGCTGAAGGAGCTTGAAAGCAGCTTTAATTTCTCACATCAGTAACACTCAGACTTGAAAGAGTCCAGAATCACTAAGAATGTAAAGAGCAGATGGGAAAGCACACTCGAGAACCTCTCTGACATCTCACTAGTGTGAGACTTCTTAGTGACTTCAAGCTGCACACAAAATTCTGATAAGGCATGGCTCCTGTGCTTTTTGTCAATGCAAATGCTGCATACACAAAACGATCTGTTCTGAGGAAATACAATTGGACAATACTGGAGAAAAGCAGAAAACTACAAACATTTGGACATCATGTTAGTTCCATTTTAGTTTTACATTCAGTTCTTATTACCTGAATTATACCAAGCCAGTAAGAAGTCAAATTCTAAAGGTTTCTTTTCTTTCAAGGCCCAAAGCACCCTCTTATGTTTCTTGCCATCTGGGTGAAAGCTGGAATCGGTCAAGTCAATAGTTATAACTGCAAAAATGTACAAAAGCTATTTTAATTCAGTAGACTAAATTTAATACCAAAGTTAAGAATTAAAACAAAGAAACCAAACAGCATTAAAATACCTTTTCACATGTACAGCATCTTTACAAAGTATGCAAATATTACTCCCCTTTATGTAAATAACCTCCTCCTGCCATCTTTATTTTGATGTAACATGGAACTGTTGTTGCCATCACTAGGAAACAAAGTCCCAATACAGGGCTTCCTGTGTTCCAGTTTCTGACCAGTATCCCTTGTTCTATTGCTGCACACCACCAAAAAGAGTCTGCCCCCATTAACTTGACTCTCATGCTTTGCGTATTTATAAACAGCAGTGAGACCCCCTCCCAGCCTTTTCTTCCCCAGACTGAAGAGTCTCAGGATTCAACCTTTCCTCTTAAATCAGAAGGCACAGATACCTCACAAAGCAAAAATTCTTCAGTTCTACTCCAATATAAGCACTTAATCAGAACACCAAAAATTAGAGACTTCATAGAATACCCCTGAGAATGTTTATCTCCTTTTTCATTTCGAAAATTCAGTTTTTCTCTTCATGCAATCTTTTCTACCTACATCTGGAAAAATACCACCATTTTTAAGGAAAGGTAAGTTTCAGAGTTGCTGTTTTAGCATCCTAACAAGGCATTTCACAAACAGATCTGAAGTAAGCACTGTTAATATCATTTACACTTACTGTATCTCATTGGTTTTTTACCAGAATACCGAGAAGGGCGGCCTTGTAGTCCAAGTTCCTCATAAGTATCTTTATCTACTGACAGAATTAGTTTTCCTATAAACAAAACAAATTTTAATGTAAATAATTTTTCAATTTAGTTCCCTTGAAGTCTCCTGAGAACCACATACTTTATACAATGTTAACTTTGGATCACTCGGTATTGCTAATGTAATCCAGACTCCTTAGTTTCAGTTAAGCTGATTACCAGATCTGCTCCTGATATTTAAATTCAATTGTTCTTTATTATCCTACAGGCCTTATGAATTTGAATGAGAAAAGTACAATGTTGCTACTGATTTAGACACAGGTTTTTTTGTTTGTTTTACTGTACTACGGGAGTCTTTCACTCAATCCTTCCTCTGCTTGACTCCTACATTTGCTGTGTCACTGGCTGAACACAGAGCTACACTTGGGACCTGATTTTGTAAACATTCCTTCATGCTCTGCTCAATTAAACATACAAATGCATTACCTCCTGCTCCTACAGGACTGTTCTCACTGAGTGAAACATGCTTATTAGCAATGAGCAGATAATGCTCAGAAGCACCTCCACACCCTGGCTCACAAGCCAAATCTGGCAGCTGCCACTTGGTACGCAATTGGAACACAAAAGATTGCTGCCACAGTATTTCAATTCTACTACAATATATGTAACAGTATAATACAGAATACAAACAAATACAGTTGTGCTGAAGGTTTCAAACATTGACATCACCAGAAACATTAATGCTGCACAGCTGGTAATAACTGCACCATACAAACTCAGTCACTACCAAGTACCTGTTCTGCTAGGACTACACTAATGGAGTACATAAAATAATTCCTCCTCTGAAAAATTTGAATTTTCTTATGCCCTGATAGGTACCTGATCTGTTTTAACACCTTGAGCTAGAGGGCAGATAACCCAATTTGTGTTCCTATTATGTTTGATACACAAACTTAAACGTGAAAACATATTTGAATGTTAGAATAGTTCCATTATTTTCTTTGAGTGCAAAATTCCATCTGAGAAATAATGCTTTGTCATAAAATAATGATGGGAACACAGGAGAGGTTTTTCATGTTAAACATTTCTCAAATAATTATCACTGACTATTTCAAAAGGTATTCCCAAACAATGTTCATTATTTCTTTTTTTGTACAGGTTGTATCTTTAAGACCAGTATGAAACAAGAAGTTGGAATGCAGTGCATTGAGAAAAATATTCATATGTAGCTATTTCTGCCAGGAGAAGCACTGACATCTAGTACTATCCATAAACAACATTGATTTTTTATCTTACTTTCCTTTAGACAAAATCATTTAACAGTGTAAATCAAAGAAGCTGAATTATTTTAGCATACTTCTAATAAAGTAGGCAAGTATAGTAGGCCCACCTTCCAGTTTACATAATTCCACATTGAAAAAAAAACCAACAAAAGACACAAAACAACCAACACTGGAACTCATAATCAATGTATATATCTTAAAAATCTTAAAAAGAACATACCAGTTGGTAGTAAAGCTGCTGTGTTATCTTGATCAATTCTGGTGTTATACGCAAGTGCATAGCATGAACCTTTAATAGTAAAGCAGAAAATTCTGAGATTATGCAACCTCTAGGGAAAGATCTAACAAGCAGGAAACATTCACTTCAAGATACTCACACATGCACCAAGTCTTTTGAATTATTCTTAATTCTTGTGTTTTTACTAGGTAACTTTCTTCCTCCTTCTCAAACAAAATGTCTGTTATTAATTTTATAAAGTTTACAATGGTACTATTGCTAAGGACTTGTAGTACAGGTAACATTACCAACATGCCTCAATCCAGACACACATTACTTCCATGTGCAAACACAGCAAGGAAGTAACCGTACACAGCATTGAGTTGGAAGAGACCTCTAATGGTTCAACTCCTGTGCAATGAACAGGGACACCTACTGCTACATCAGGTCACTCAGAGCTCTGTCCAGCCTTACCTTGAGTGTCTCCAGGGACAGGGCATCCACCACCTCTCTGGGCAGCTGTTCCAGTGCCTGACCACCCTTATTGGAAAAAGCTTCTTTCTATGTCCAATCTAAATTTCCCCTCTTTCAGTATGAAACCGTTTCCTGCTGTCCTATCAAATCAGACCCTGCTAAAGACTCTGTCCCCTTCTTTCTAATAGCCCCCCTTTAGATACTGAAAGGCCACTATCAGGTCTCCCCAGAACCTTCTCTTCTCCAGGCAGAACAGCCCCAGATCTCTCAGCCTGCCACTGTAGGAGAGGTGTTCCAACTCCTGAATAATTTCTGTGGCACTCCCCTAGAGCCAACAGGTCCACATCTCTCCTGAACTGAGGACTTCATATCTGGATGCAGTGCTCCAGGTGAGGGCTCACCAGCACAGAGTAGAGGGGCAGGATCACCTGCCTTGCCTTGCTGGCCATGCTTCTTTTGATACAGCCCAGGATATGGTTGGCTTTCTGGACTGTGAGGGCACACTGCTGGTTCATGTCCATCTTGCCATCCACCATTACCCCCAGGCCTTTTTCAGCAGGTCCTTTCCATCCTTTCATCCCTCAGCTCGTACTGACAGCAGGAGTTGCCATGAACCAGGAGCAGAACCTTGCACTTGAACGTGTCGAACCTCATGAGGGTCTCCCATGCTCACTGCTCAAGCCTGCCCAGATCTCTCTGGATGGCATCCCATCTCTCAGATGTGTTGATCACACCATACAGCTTCTTGTCATCTGCAAACTTGCCGCTGGTGCACACATTCCCACTGTTAACGCCATTGATGAAGATGTTAAAGAGCACTGGTTCCAGTACTGACCCCTGAGGGACACCATTCATCACTGATCTCCACCTGGACTGAGCCATTGACCATCATTCTCTGGGTAGGATCTTGCAACCAGTTTCTCATCTGTTGAGCAGACCACCCATCAAATCCAGATAAAGATGTTACAGAGAGCCATATATCGAAGGCCTTACAGATGAAAGCAGCATCTCTTCCCTTGTCCACTGTCAGTTACACCATGATAAAAAGTGACAAGGTTGGTCAGGAAAGATCTGCCCTTGGTGAAGCCATGCTGGTTGTCCCACATCACCTCCCTCTCTTCCACGTGTCCCTTAGCATAGCTTCCAGGAGGATCTGCTCCATGATCTTCCTCAGCACAGAGAAGAGACTGACAGGCCGATAGTTCACTGGGTCATGCTTTCTATGTCTTAAAGAAGTGTGTGACATTGTCATTTTTCCAGTCAACAGGGACTTCACCCAATGGCTGTGACTTTCCAAATATCTTCTGAACCATCCACTCGAGGGCTGCATGAAGAGCAGTTGCCAGTGAAGACTGAGGCAAAAAAATTGTCAAGTACCTCAGCCTTTTCTTTCTCTGTTGTTACCAGTCTGCCTGTTCTGCTACCCTCTTGGACTCTCATTTTCTGGTTTATATACCCATAAAAGTCCTTGTTCTTCTTTCACCCCTTGCCAAGTCCAGTTACAGCTGGGCCCTGGCCTTCCTGACCCCACCCCTATACAGCCTAGCAGCATCCCCATACCCTTGCCAGGGTACCTGCTCCTGCTTCCACTGCCTTGGCAGTGAAATATGTTTTTTCCTGAACTATATGGGTTACTAATTCACGTAAAAGCAAGGAGGAAAATGCTTACATCATCAATATATTTTGTGGCAGATACTTTCACAAAACTTTTCTGTTTTTGACGTGTTATTAGAAACACGAGAGTCAAATAGAGTAAACTTGCTAATATGCAAGTGGTATTACATTTTGTATATCAAGAAATTGATTTCTTACTTCCCTGTTCGTCTGACATGTTTTTTCTCCTTTGTTTTGCCTTTAAAGCTTGCTTTCCTCCCTGGCAATCATCCAAAAGATGCAACATTCATCAGGAGCCAAACATACTTTGGAAAACAACATACTTTGAATATGCAAAACAGGTTTGCTGGGCAGAGGCAGCATCTTTCTGATTTTTCTCTGCAACTTCTCTCTTACTGTGAAAGGATGGGCCACAACTTCATCACCCAAAAGAAAAAAAAGCCAGCAAAAAAGTCTTCCTTGCATTTAGGAAAATAGGCACAGGCTGCACTGTGTTGAAATACGAAGGGATCAGAGAGGAGAACCACAGGATTGCTCAGGTTGGAAGAGACCTTAAAGGTCATCAAGTCCAACCACAACCTGACCATGCTACCCTAACTCTAACAACCCTCTGCTCAGTCATGTCTCTGAGAAGGGAGGTGACTTCTGCATAAGCTGTAGAAGACGAGAGGTGAGACTACATATAGAAGCCCTCCTGTCAGCTGGCTTGCAGAATTTAGATGGAATGGAGGAAAAAAAAAGAGGGATCAAGTGTATCTTTTGGCCCCGTTGGTAAATGCTGGTATCACAAAGCAGGAAAAAAAAAAGAAAAAAAAAAAGATAAAGAAATGCACGGATTTTATTATCGCAGTTTCTTCCCTTTCTTTACAACACGCTAAACAGCTGCAAATTAAGTTGCTGCTTACGGAAGAAAAGAGGAGCCTTGTGCGTGTGATACAGCCTTACCTTTCCTCACAAAGGACTCAACGAATTCGTGAGCGACCAGCTGATGGACGGACAAGCCCCTCACCACGTAGTACTCCCCGAGGTCCGCCACGGCGCTTTTCAGCACTTGTGGCAGCACGCCGCACTCGGGGATCAGCACAGACACCTGCTGGGAGCACAGCCGTAACGCGAATCGCACCCGAAACGCGTGAGGGATGAAAAGCAAGAAACGCAGAACATAAAAGGAACGAGCGAGTCGCTTCAGGCTATCGTCTTCGAAACGCAGCCGTGTGAGCACGCACACACCTCTGGCTTGCGCGTCTCACGCGCCGTGCAAAAAGATGACCGCAGCTGGCCGGAAAAGCGAGGCTCGAAGCAGACCCGCAGCTAACGCCCGTCCCGCTCGCCGCCCCCTCCTCCCCACGGCTCCGGGTCGCGGCTCCATTCCCCTCGCGGCGCCGCGCCGCCCGCACTCACGCGGCAGTTGTAGGCGTGGTCCCGCACGTGCGCCGCGTGGCGGGAGCGCTCGTGCCGCGCGTGGCCCTTCTCGCACACCAGCAGGTGCCGAGGCGCTTGCTGCAGGCGCCGCAGCGGCGCCGACATTCTCCACCGCGACCTCCGACGGAACGACAACCGCACCGCGCGCCACCCGCCGCCCGGCGGAGATGCGAGGCGTGGACAAACCCTTGCGTGACGTCACTTCCGCCTGCCCGGACAGAGCGCTGCTTCCGCGTGGAGTCGGGTCCCCAGCGCGATGTGCGCATGCGCTGCGGCGCCCCTCGGTGTGGTGGGCTGGGAGCGCTGCGCTGCCTCCACCGGTGCCAGCGCATCTTCATCTGGATTCGTGGAGATACGGCAGAACCCCTCACAGACACACTGAGTACCTGAACACCCACTGAGCATGTCGTGTCCCTTAGATGCTGAGCGGATTTGCAACGATAGCAATACTTGTACCCGATATAATGCAGTGTCTGCTCACAGCCTGATGAATCATAGGATCACAGAATGGGTTGAAAAGGACCACAACGATCATGTAGTTTCAACCCCCTGCTATGTGCAGGGTCGCCAACCAGGATCAGGCTGCCCAGGTTAGCCAGCACCACGCTGAGTGCCGTGGGGTTGGGTCTGCCCGCTACATATCCTCTCACAGATCATTTTGAACATCATATATTTGGTATAAATTACAAAAACTTTACAGCTCCATGCAGTTTTTTTTCTCTTCCTTGTCCCTGAACTTTTTACCCCCATATCTACTTTACAATGGTAACTACTAACTTTCCTGGTATTTGTTTTGCTGCTTCTATATGCTGCACAAGGCTGCATTTCAGTCTAGGTCACTAAGATCTGGTCAGTACACATTGTAGAATCACAGAATATCCCAAGCTGGAAGGGACCCGTAAGGATCATAGACTCACAGAATGGTTTGGGTTGGAAGGGA